CGTCTAACCATATCTATGATTGGTGGGTTACAAATATGAATATCACCCACTTCTAAATTTAATCAAACTGTCTTTCTTAGCGATTATCTATTGCATATGGATGGAATGCAATCGCAAATTGTTTCAAAACAAATCGATTGAAGCTCATCTTCCGTTGGCTAGGATTCGAAAGGTTGTAAGAGGTAGGGCGTCACTCTACCAACAGTGCAGGCCTTCCCAGGTAAATGTTTTATTGGCTATTATATGGAGGCTTCTTTCCTCCATCTTCTCGCATAATTAGTCTCTTTGAAATACTAAGGGTTTTCCCTAAGCTTTTGTACCTCATCTGATTAATGATATTCACATATTTACACAAAAAAAAAGTCTACATATGGTGATGTTTATAATATTGTAACTCACCAACCAGAGGCGTGGTCGGAAGAAATATCCTTCATCTAGGGATGAGGAAAAGGTAGAGATATAAATACAAGTGTATAAAGGAGTGCCCGCATAAAGTGTTAGGTGTTTGAAGATGGTCCATTTGTAAAAATATTGATTAATGGTATGTGATATCGATCATATCATAAAAATTTTATTTTGTAAATAATTTACATAATTATTTCTCGTGAATTCATGTCCAAAAGTTTTAATTGTGGAATAATGTTAGAGATTGCCTTCATAGATTTCATACAATTCACTAACATAGCAAAAACACAAATGAATTATTCACTTAAAAAAAAGTACCATTACCATTAGAGAAAATCTCTTTCTCTTTCTACAATATGTACTTACATTTGACTTGGAATTTTACCAGGTCCATCCACAGTTGAAAAAAATTTACGTAAAATTGTTACATGAGTGACATATAGGGCTAATTCCAAAAAAAAGCACAAACTTTAGGTCGAGTGGCAATTCTGACCCAAACTTTTTTTTGATCCGTAAAAAAACACCAACTTTAGGTTGAGTGACAATTTTGGCCCAAACTTTTTTTTTGTCTCATAAAAAATTATCAACTTTCACCCTTATCCCAAATCTAGCCCCTCGTTAACTTTCTGTCTGAAGTCACCGTTGTTTGAAAAAAAAAGTTATGATTGTGAGCTCGGCGGATCTCGTCCATGGCGTTTGTTGACGGGCGGTGGTCTATAACTTCAAATTATGACAAAACGATGAAGTCTGACCAAAGAGATTCAATCTGGAGATCTTTTTGATTTGCCGGTGAAGTGAGGGAGATGAACAGTTTCACCGTTATTCTTCAAGCTATGGCTTAGAGAAGAAGACAATGAATAGTGCTTTAAATACATTTAGCAAGCCACGAGGATTTATTGCTGAGGTGGAATAGTCAAGTTAGATAATCAATGGTTCTAAGTCAAGGGGGCTGGATTTGGGATTTAAGTGAAAGTTTGTGGTTTTTTATAAGACAAAAAAAAGTTGAGGCCAGAATTGTCACTCGACCTAAAGTTGGTGTTTTTTTACAAGACAAAAAAAAATTGAGGCTAGAATTGTCACTTGACCTAAAGTTGGTGCTTTTTTTTTTTTAAATTAAGCCGTGACATATATGGTTAGAGTTTTTTTTTTGTACGGATGTTAGAGTTAAAGTTAATTGGATAGTTGAATTTTCATGTGTCGCTTGCCCACAATATTCTTCCATAAAAGATAACACATAGTCAGCGCACAGGTTCCGTTTGACAATACGATCGGCTTGGTAATAACAAATAAGAGATGTACAAAACCCTGATAGATGTTCACTTGTTTTCATATTGATGGTTGATTCATGTGGGGTTTCTGAGATCAACGGCTGAATCGAGCGAAAGAATTGTTAATCAACAACTCATGGAAGAATTGCAAGCTTTATTGCACAAAATAAAACAAACGTTAAGACGGGCATAATTATGAGGTGTTTAATTTGCCTGAATTTTGTGGGTTTTCGCAACTATAATTATGAGATGTTTGAATTTTTTTCGAGCATTTTTAAGTAACCCTAACACGAGAGAGTTTTGTAGTCTCTAATTCGTGACCTGTCCTGTTGTTTCTCGAATTCTAAGACTAGCATATACAAGTATGCTAATCGTGAGTTTCTATGGTCGTTCTTTCTATCTATCATTTAGTTTTCACTTATGATGATTATTTTTAGATTAATCTAAGTGTTTGTGCTTAATTTTGAACGTATGAACAACATCATCACAATTGTCGCTATCCATGACCAAGACAGTGGTACACAAGAGACATCTTCCTTGTATCTGGACATGATTTCCTAGTTATATACATTGAACCTCGACATCGTGTTCGTTTACCAATTTGTTCATTGAATACGTAACCCGAACACTGTGTATATAATTGCTAAATAGCCACAATGTATTCATTGAATACGCCGAACACAATGTATATTAAGTATTCAATGAACATATCGTATTATAAATATGTAACCCAAACACGATGTATATAAATATTATTTTCAATATCGTTTACTAATTTGTTCCTTTTATGGTCACTGCCCTTCTCTCTTTTTCTTTTTTTTTTCCTTGAATTTTTTTTGTTATGTTTCTATGATCACCGGCTTAAATTGCTATATGGGAATTCTTAATCTCGTAAAGATTAGGTATGGCATTTGGTTGGTACCGAGGGTCATCTTCGTGTCGGAAAATTTAAGGATATTTTATTACATGGACTAATTTTGGAACACGGCCCATTAAATGATCATGTCAGAACTAAAAAATGATCCGTTCATTGGATACGTAACCCAAACACAATGTGTATAATGTGTTAATCCAATTTGAATTTAGCTCGATCAATATCTTGGAGATAAAAATTAACTTTTTATTTGTGGAATTTATGTGTTTGTTAAGTTAGTGTGATCATCCAAACTTGACCAAATAGTTTTAGAAAAAAATAAACAAAATTATGAGCTTTTTTCTAGATTAATTTATGGAAATATCGACTTCCATTCTAGACAATCTATCTTAGTACCTTATTTGAAAAAAAAAATATGATTAATATCAAATTTAATTTTTGAGGTTATTGAAGATTAAGTATCCAATTTTTTTTTTATCTTTAGTGATTTTCTTTTAAGTTCTTCATTTCAATTTCAAATCACTATATCAGTTATAATTTTTCTTTACTTATTTAGACTTTAGGGTATTGTGATTATTTAGAATGCAATTAGTTATAATTAAAGTAGGTTTCGTAAATAATATAACTAGTTTTTACATTGAGTTAGTTTTGTCTGTAGTGTGATCAGTTTTTTTGTGTGTATATTTCTTGATTAATAACTATTTACTTATGTGGACATATTGACTATCTATATGTCTATAGCAATTCTTTAGTAATAGTTTAACATTTTTCGTGACTGATCCAACTGTTATGATAGTGCTTTTTTGTGATCGATGGGAATTAAAACTTGCCAATTGTTTGTAGTACTGTGTGGTAAATCTTTTCAAATCGAAAACGGTTTAAACGGGGTTGGCACCTATCCACTTTTTACTGGAATGTTCGGTTTAAAACGCCGAAGGGACACCAATTACTTACTAGGTGAATCCATCATCGCAGTTTCACTAGGTGCAGGTAGAGAAACCCAAGACCGGCCATACCCTAAATCGAGGCCCGTTCTTCACAGATTGATCAAGTTTAACCAAGAACCGAGGATAAATTGGGAAATTGAACCCGTGATTTTCGACTTGCAAACATATAAAACTGCCAAAACACTATATTTAAAATGATTCGGCAAAGGCAAGTATAGCAGTTACTCACCTTCAAGGTGCTAGCTTAGCACAATGAGGGCCGTGCTATTGGGTGGTTTTCCTTCAGGTGATCAAGAGCTTGAATCTTGCAAGTTCGAAAATCGAACTCTGAGCCAATCCGTACTGAAAAGGGCTTATATCGAGTTGGCATGTTGGTGGAGCCATGGTGACGGGTTGGGCCATTTGAGGAAGACCCTTTTAGGGTCAATTTATGGCTTTGAACCATAATGGTACGGTGGGGCCGCTACAACATTAGACTCGACACATTCGTAACCCGAACATTATATACTAGATCGTGAAATCCTATGATATCATCCAACTGGCTAGCTCGTGCAATGGGCTCTCTTCAAATCTCTCGATTAATTAGTGGTCCCAGTTTTAAGTTCTCTTTAGGGTAAGTTACCAGTGAATTGAGAAAGTTCTTTCAACGATAAAAATTAATTCCGATTATCATGACTGGAGGATCTAAACTAATGACAAATTAGTACATTTTCAACCCATTGGAGTTCGTAAACTGTTGCTTCAATTTAGATTTCCTAAATGATGTCATCGATCCTTATAAAATGTTTGTCGTGTTTTTATTTCTTTATATAATTGAAGTGGAGAAAAGATAAAGGACAAATGCTTTGATGGGCTCATCGAGGGAACCCCACATGAGCAACATATAAAAAGCCAAATGCACAAAAGGGTGAAATCTAACTCGCCTAGTGACCGAGAGCGAAGCTCGCCGGAAAAAATGGGTTCTCACAGAGGCGCATTTGTCGCAGCTTTTGAGCGGAGAGCAAGAATCGTCGGAGCTCGCTCGTGCATCTGGATTTGAATCTAACGAGCTTAGTGGACTTAGATACTTCATCACTGTGATCCTAATTACTTCTATTTTCCAGGCCGTTCGAGTATTACACCACCACACATTACAGTCTCTTTTACTCGTTGCTTTGCAAGTCCCTGGGCACCAGGAAAGCCCTTTTCTTTTTGTTTCTTTCTTCGGGTTTGGGGTAGGATTATGGGGAAATTATAACGTTTATCTCGAATATCAGTTGTCACTTTAGATTACTAATGTACCTCTCTTTTTTAGTACATATTGGTGCGATGTCTCTATTAGAGAATCGTACATTTGTTCGGTTCATTAATATGTTTTGATGCAACATACCGTGTGGATACATAAATACATATTTGGACAATTATGAAGATAGCAATCCGACGAACCAAGGTCCCAGAATTCTTATCTGTAAGAACAGGCTTTGACAAATTTAATACCTCATACGAGTTTTGAACTAGAAATTGTAGGGCTTTACCCCATGAGGAGCCCTTCCAAAAATTCTCAGTGGCCTGAGCTCAAACGCAGGCCAAAGAAGGGGTTTGGAAAAAGTTTTCAACCAGCAATAGACGCGCCTCGATTAGTACCTCGCTAATTGCGTTATTGCCCCAAGCGCAAAGATGCTTCATCATCAAGGAAATCCACGCTCTTATACAGATGATTAGACATTTCCTTGTTCCTATTGTTGGGAAAAATGTTCACGTGAAGCATAACAGGAAGAAAATGGAATAAGAGGACCGTGAGGCGTGAAAACACTCTATTTAAGGAATTATTTGTCCCACAACATTGCTAATGGTTACTGGCAAAACTCCTCCAGAATACAACAAAGTTTCGAACGAGAATACCATATAGTAATTCTGGTATTTCTCTAGGGTCCCTCAAGAGAAACAATTGGAAAAGATGGCAGTATTGTTTTGAGAAAGTAGCATAAAAAAGTAAGTGGAAACAGATTGACAAATATGAATATATACAATAGTCTTTTTGAACCGAAGGCAACCTTTCGGGAGAAGTCGCATTGTCAAAAGATGCCTTCTCAAAAGACATAATAAAATTCGGATAAAATAATAACAAAATAAAAAATAATATTTTTAATTATTTTTATTATTTCGATTTTTATAAATTCTGAAAAAATATTTTTTGAACAAATACAACTTTTCAAAGATGAAGAAGTTATGTCCAAAAAGACATAATCTTCCAAAGGTGAAGTAGTTATGTCCGAAGGGACACAATTCTTCCAAAGGTTATAAGAACGCCTAATAACCGTTAGACAAAATAATAAATTTCAAAATTAATTAATAAAAAAAAACCGCAACTCTATTGCGAACAGTCACACTGTTTTAAGAGGATAAAATCGTTATTTTATAATAATAAATTCGAAATTTAATAAATAAAAATAATAATAAATGAGGATTAGTGATAATTAAAATAATAAGCTCGCGGAAAGTGCTAAGTGCGCCAAAAACGCGCACCGGCACGCGGATATTGTGTGATCTAGCCACAGTCCATCGTCTTCAATTGAACAAGTTATAAAACATTCACACTAATATAGTGGCATACACAATCAAAACTTTTTTACGTGGGACAATGAAAAGCACTATTTTATTTATTTGACAAACAAACAACCAACAATCTTCAATGTGGGACACTTTTCATGCCACTTCCTACTCACGCTTCTCATTGTCCGCTGAGGCTCGCGCACCAAGTCATCCCCCTCTCTCTGCACTCCTTTGCATTTTCCTGCTAATAACCTGGCAACACCGGTAAATCTTCACACACGGTTGTGTATGCAAAAGACGAAAATCAAAGGTGACGCACGACCTCTAGAAAAAGAAAATAAATGGGTCACATTTTCCACGAAATTTCATTTAACCATATCTCTGATTGGTGGGTTACAAATATGAATGTCACCCACCTTAAAATTTAATTAAGTCTACATATGGTGATGTTTATAATTTTGTAATCCACCAACTAGAGGCGTGGTTGGAAGAAATATCCTTCGTCTACGGATGAAGAAATATATAGCTCGAAAGAAAAGGTAGAGATATAAATACAAGTGTATAAAAATAGTGCCAAGATAGATTTTAGGTGTTTGAAGATGGTCCATTTGTAAAAATATTGATTAATGGTATGTGATATCGATCATTTCATATAAATTTTAGGGAAAATTATTAATAAGGGCACGGAGTGCCTTCATTTTTTCAAATAAAGATTTGAAGTGGACCTTGTTTCAAATAAGGTTTGAAGTGGTCATGTAGTTTCAAAAGAAGGGCCTGACTTTCCGACTGGTCAAGGGCATTTTCGTTCTTTAAGTTTTTTGAATTTTTCCATTTTTTTTTCCATTTTTTTTTTCCATTTTAATATATTTCGATGCGTAGAAAAAGTACGCACGGAGCTTATTTATGATAAGATAAACATAATATCTAATATAATCAATCAATGATATACACTATCAAAAGAGATATATGCATAATCTTGAGAAATATGTAGAATCAAATAAACATCCTAATATCACTAACACTATGTCTAAACTAGAGTATCACCTACGTTATGAGAAAACTGACCTATCATATTGATGCTCTTTTTGATCACGAGCTTGTTTGTCTACTATTCTGTTCTGGCGCAAATTGAGCAACCGAAGCTATAGCCTATTGGGTGATTCTCGTAATAATTGGATTTTTTTTATAAAAAAAGAAAAAGAAAAAGAAGAAGACAAAAATGGTTCGTTTGGACACCTATCATATTTGCATGATTTGACTAGTGCGCACTTGGACATAGCTTACATGACTAAGCAAATTGCACGTCCACTGCCAAAGAAGTTTATCCTATAAACATGAGTATTAATGGAATACTTTTCGCCTTCGTGAAATTGAGAAATTGGCACGGAGAGATATAGCCGAATTTCGAAAACAAAAGAAAAGAAAGCGAGATGAATTTTAAGTCCGTCAAGCTCGAGATTGTTTGGGTTAGTGGCTTTTATCTCTTCTTTAAAATTGTAAACTTATGTCTTGAAAGTGACATAAATTAGATTTATTATAAGTTATGAAAGGCATAACATGGAATGATAATATTTTTTTGTCAATATGGGATAATAATATAAAAAGGACAAAGTGAAATTTGAGCATATTTGTTGCATAAACTTCTGATGGAGCATTTACTACCCTTTTGATTATTTGAAATGACATAGCAACATATTTCTTGGAAATAATTGTGAAACGTTTCGAAAAATGTTCTATGAAAGGAATTGCAAAAAGGTTATATATTCCAATTGTAAACCTGGTTATACAATGTATTATGTTGTGAAATATTATATGTTTTGGTTTGTAAAATCGATTTATGATATGGATTATGAATTTGTTTTGTGGATTTCAGGATGATGTTAATGGATTGATCCAAATGAAGTAGCTTTGAGTGGTGTGGCTAAGAAGTGTAACAACTTCATCAGTTTGAAAATGAGTAGGCAGGGATTAAGCACATGTAATTCCTTTATTCATTAATAAGTATACGTGGATGCACAGATCAGAGGGCTTCTCGCTTCAATAGCATAACAAAGGGAATAAGAATCCGAATCATTTGCAACCCGTTGAGTATGCGAGTCAAGAGTTCTGAATCGGGTATAGTCTTTTAATTGCCGCAACTTTATCAGCAAGACCTTTCAAAAAAGCTTCCCTTGTGAATTTCTTCAGGAATAACCACCATATATCTCTTGAAATTAGAAATTGCATCCAAATTTCTCTTCTTTTCTCTATGGATGAGTGTACTGAAAGTCTTAAAACTTGTCATAAAAGTACAATTAAATCCTAAAACTTTTAAAAAGTGCAATCAAATTCTAAAACTTGTCGTGAGAGTGGAATTGAATCCTAAAACTTTCAAAAAGTGCAATCAAGTCCCAAATCTTATTAAGTTGGTGCAATCAAGTTGTTCTATTAACACCGTCCAACTTGACAAACGGAAAATACTAAAAATTTTTAGGACTTGATTGCATCAATTTCACAAGTTCTAAGAGTTGATTACACTTTTTGAAACTTTCAAGACTCAATTACACTTTCGTGACAAGTTTTAGGACTTGATTGGACTTTTTGAAAGTTTTAGGATTCAATTGCACTTTTGCGATAAGTTTTACAACTTTTAGCGCACTTATACCTTTCTTTATTTGAGCAGTCTTGTGGGAACGAAAGTACCATTTTTTACGATAGAGATTACAACACCATCGAGCACTTTTGCTGTTTCTCTTGCAAGGCATTTGCGTTATACAGGTGCAAAAACGTACGGTGCTTTTAGTTGCTCTCACTGTTTGGAGCAAAAGCAGGTAATTGGTCCTCTTCAGTGTCTATTCAATCTGTCTTATCCCATGGAACCATGGTGCGGTCATTAGAGAAACTCAAGCGCGCATCTTCCTCAAATCTATTCCACTTAGTATGTCTGAAGTTTGGAATTTAGGTTAAAACCACTCTTTGCAATTTCCAGAAGAGAATATACTTTACAGAAACACTTTCCATCTAATTGTCGGCGAGTGGAGCATAGAGAAGTAGAAGAGAGGAGCTTCTCTTCGTTTGTTACTGAACATTCGGTTGTGACCAGCTATGAACTTAGTCATCGCCGACGTAATGCTAATGAAATTTTCAGCGAAGCAAAGCTTACTCATTAACAATTTGCATTCAGATGTTTCGACGTGAGGCAGCAAAGATATTGGACTATGTGGAATGCTTTCCTGATGGGTACAAGAAAGGAACTAATATAGCCAGCAATATGCTGAAGTTCGTATAGAAGGCTTTCCTGCGTGGCTGATAAATGGTGAGGCATGGGGACTTCTTGATTTGAGGTTTTCTGGCTGGTCCTAGAAGAGAGAATGGCTTTATTCCAGTCAAAAACTGTTTATAGTCTGCTTAACTAACTCAAATACTCGCCAACATCTCTGGGCATTGACTTTTCTTCTGTTGTACTTTTTTGTTTTTGTTTTTGGGTCTCACTCGTCTCTTCTAAGTACATGTGTGTGCGGTACTCACAAAATCGAACCCTATACCTAGTACTCTCTAGCCCCATCCCCTAATCCCGTTACCAGCAAAGTCGCATGCCTGTTGGCTTCTATTGTACTTCGTGATGGCGTGATTCTTCAGTTACACTATGCTGAAAGGGGCCAAAACTACTTTATTTTATCCTTTGCTGCGAAGCATCTGGAGTTGATGCTATTCATATGGGGGAAAAATGGGTTCTTGCCGAAGTGCATTCGTCGCAGTTTTTGAGTAGAGAGCAAGAATTGTCGAAGCTAGCCCGAGCATCTGGATTTGAATCTAACGAGCTTAGCGGACATAGTTAGATGCTTCATCACTGTGATCCGCATAACTTCTATTTTCCATGCCGTTCAAGTATTAAACTGCCAAACATTACACGTAGTCTGAAATGGGACTTCTCTTTTACTCGTTGCTTTACAAATCATTGGGCACCAGGTAAGTCCTTTTCTTCTTTTCTTTCTTTTTTTTTTTTCGGTTGGGGGTAGGGTGATGGGAAAATTGTAACGTTTATCTCAAATATCAATTGTCACTTTAAATTACTAATGTACCTATCTTTTTCTGTACTTATTGGTGCGATGTCTCTATGAGAGAATTGTATATTATTCGGTCCATTGATATGTTTTGATGCAACATACTGCGTGAATAAAAAAATATATATTTGGACAATTATGAAGATAGCAATCCAACGAACCAAAAGTCCCAGATTTGCAATTCTAATCTGTAAGAACAGGCTTTGACAAATCTCCTGCTATTGCAAATAAATATTACCTCATATTGCAAATGTCTTAAAACTACAAATGGCCTGAGCTCAAACCCAAGCCAACGAGGGTGTTTGGAAATAGTTTTCAACCAGCAATAGACCCGTCTCTATTAGTACCTCACTAGCTGCGTCATTGCCCCAAGCGCAAAGATGCTTAATCATTGAGGAAATCTGTGCTCTTATACAGCTGATTAGACATTTCCTTGTACCTACCCTCGATGTGGGACACTTTTCATGCCACTTCCTACCCACACTTCTCATTGGCTGCCAGGCTTCTGCACCAAGTCATCAGCCACTCTCTGCACTCCTCTCTTTAGGCATTTTCTTGCTACTAACTTGGGAACACCGGTAAATCGTTACACACGGTTGTGTATGCAAAAGTTGAAAATCAAAGGTAAGGCACGGGCCTCTAGAAAATTGAATATCCATGATGTTTGTAAGCATATGCACGTGATGAAGAAGATTTTCGACATGGTCCACTATGCCATCATCAGAAAATCTCCAACTGATTCTGCTTTCACGTATGTGCCCGGAATTGACCGGGATGAGGTTGACAGAAACAACAACAACGAGACATGGCATGGCGGGAGCAAATAGTAGTATTTATAAAAAATGCAATTCCTAGCCTAACATGATTTCTACGAATTAATTAACAACTCTAATGAATCTTCTTTTGTTTTGTTTTTCCTTCTATTTATGAAGATTAAGTTACATGCAATGCATGTAATGCAAACCTATTCCAAATTATAGCTACATGTCAATTAACATGACATGTCCTAAACATGCAATCTCTAAATGACATGTCATAGATGAGATTGAATTGATGATGTGGCATTGATGGTGACATAGCAATGACATGGTAATGATGTGGCATGTGTGATGACCAGCATAGATGACGTAGCAAGGATGATGTGGCATGATGACATACAAATGCTTTTTATGGACTTTTTTTAATAAAAATTCGAAATTAATAATTAATTAAAAGAAATTATCTAAAGTGAGATAATCCAATCCGAACTAGGAAATAAACTACATTAAATCTTAATTTTAACTTGGAAAATTATCTTAAACTATTCGATAATATCTAACATGCAATCTTGTCTAGAAAAACTATCCTAATCTAACAAGAGGTGCAATCTTTTTATATTTTTTTAAGATATGAAATCTCACCCAAATAGATGAAATATATCGAAACCACATCAAGATATTCATCGCAATTCAAAACTACAGATCAAGATAACTAAAAAGTAATATGATGTCTCGCGGTTCAAATTTATGATTATCATAATCTTCATAAGACACTCACCAGGTGCTCAATATGAAATTAAAATAATAATAATAAATGATTCGACATCTCGCGGCTCAAATTAATGATTAAAGTATTTGGCAAATAAAACCATTGATTGTTGAGATATATTGTGTTTCTTGGATGGAGTTGTAATAGAAGAGCTTCCCTTGGGACTTTCTTCTGGAATAACCACCATATATCTCTTGAAATTAGAAGTTGCATTTACCAAATTGGTATTGGAAGGCATGCATGTGCCTGATTTCTCTCTTTTTTGTTTTATGGGATAAGTGTATTGAAAGTTCTAGGACTTATAGTAAACTTATCCCTTTCTTTAGGAAAAATTTCAAATAAGGGCTCGAAGTGCTCTCATTTTCTCAAATAAGAGCCTGAAGTGGACTTTATGTCAAATAAGAGCCTTAAGAGATCATTTCAATGTCAAATAAAGACATGAAGTGATCATGGAAGTTTCAAATAAGGGCCTGACCTCGTTGGTTGCTGGTCGACTAAATATTCTGTCCGGTCAAGGGCATTTTTGTCCAAAGATAATTTTAATTTTAAATTATTTCATTTCATTTTTTTCATTTTTTTCTTTCATTTTTCTTTTTTCCGATGATGCCCGGAGAGGGCTGGGCAAGGCTAGTCTCGCCATGGGGAGGCGACCCTCGCCTTGGGTGAGCCTGTGGCCATCGAGGGTGGCCCTCGCTAGATTGGGCAAGGGCAACCCTCGCCCAGCCCTCTCCGGGAATCACAGGTGACCAGTGACCGGCCATTGGCGAAGAAGAAAGAAAAAACCAGATAAAGAAAAAAAAAAGAAAAAAAAGGAAAACAATTCAAAAAAAGGTAAATGATAAAAATGCCCTTGACCATTCGGAAAGTGAGGTCTTTCTTTGAAACTGATATAGCTACTTCAGGTTCTTACTTAAAATAAGATCCACTTCAAACTCTTATTTGAAAATATAAAGACATTTCGTGATAAATTTGAAACAAGGTCCATTTCAGATTTTTATTTAAAAAAATGAAGGCATTTATAACTTTTATTTGGAATTTTCTTTTTTCTTTATTTGAGCAATCATGCGGGAGCAGAAATACCATTTTTCACAACCGAGATTACTACACCATCCAGCACTTTTGCTGTTTCTCTTGCAAGGCATTCGCGCTCTATAGGTGCAAAAATGTACGGTGCTTTTTGATGCTCTCACTGTTTGGAGCAAAAGCAGGTCACTGGTCCTCTGCAGTACCTATTCAATCTGTCTTATCCTATGGAACCACGGTGTGGTCGTTAGAGAAACTCGAGTGCACATTTTGTTCAAATTGATCTCACTTAGGAAATATTTAAAGATGTTTGTAATTTTTAAGAACAATGAATTTCTTTCCTTGACGTATATGTTACCACGTTTATTATAATGGAAGTATTCTTTTATAAATCGAGAAAGAGACCATGAATTCTTTCCATTTGAATTTTTTTAGCCAAAAAAACAATTTTTTTAATAAAATTGTTTACACGATATCTTTAACATTGTTGTCAATATTTAAATTTAAAAAATTGCAGACCTTATTTTTTTCAATTTCAAACAAGTAAAAATTAAAAAGCTTAAATTAATCACCCAAAGGGGCATTTCAAATGTGTTTCTACCAAACGACATTTCCTCTCAAAAGTGCTTCTCAAAACAAAATTTACTAAACAGTTTTTGCATTTCCCCAAAACGTTTTAAGCTAAACTGCTTTGCATTTTTCCAAAGTTCCTTAAAAAAGCTGAACCAAACGCAGTCTTAGTATATTTGAAGTTTGGAATTTAGGTTAGAACCATACTCTTTGCAATTTACAGAAGAGGATATACTTTACAGAAACACGTTCCGCCTAATTGTCGGCGAGTATAGCATAGAGAAGTAGAAGAGAGGAGCTTCTCTTCGTTTGTTAGTGAACATGCGGTTGTGACCAGCTATAAACTCAGTAATCGCCGGCATAATGCTAATGAAATTTTCAGTGAAGCAAAGCTTACTCATTAACAATTTGCATTCAGATGTTTGGAAATGAGGCAGCAAAGATATTGGACTTTGTGGAATGCTTTCCTGATGGGTACAAGAAAGGAACTAAAATAGCCAAGCAATGTGCTGATGTTCGTATAGAAGGCCTTTTATACGCGGCTTAATAAATGGTGAGGTATGGGGATTTCCTCATTTCTGGCTTTCTGGCTCGTCCTAGAGAGAGAATGGCTTTGTTCCTAGTCAAAAACTGTTTCCAGTCTGCTTTAACTCAAATAATCGCCCGCATCTCTGTCTGGGCACCGACTTTTTCTTCTGTTGTGCTTCATGATGGCATGATCCATCAATTACAAAATGCTGAAAGGGGCCAAGATTACTGTCTTTTATCTCTGCTGCAAAGCATCTGCAGTTGATGCTTCTCTCATATGGGGGAAAGAATGGGTTCTCCCCGAGGCGCATTTGTCGCAGGTTTCGAGTCTAACGAGCTTAATGGACTTTGTTAGATGCTTCATCATTGTGATCGGCACGGCTTATATTTTCCAAGCCGTTCAAGTATTACCCTGCCACACATTACACAATGTCCGAAAACTACAAAATTATAACCTCATACCACGACCAAGATTAAGTTTTGAACTAGGATCAGGATAGTTCTGAACTAGAATTTGTAGGGCTTTAACCCGTAGGGAGCCCTTCCAGAAATTCTCGATGGCCTGAGCTCAAACCCAGGCCAAAGAGGGGGTTTGGAAATAGTTTTCAACCAGCAATAGACGCGCCTCGGTTAGTACCTCACTGGCTGAGTCATTGCCCCAAGCGCAAAGATACATAGTCATGAGGAAATCTGTGCTCTTATACAGCTGATTAGACATTTCCTTGTACTTCCTGTCGATCTGGGACACTTTTCGTGCCACTTTCTTCACGCTTCTCATTGGCTGCAGAGGCTCACACACCAAGTCATCATCCACGCTCTGCACTCCTCTCTTCAGGCATTTTCCTGCTACTGACTTGGCAACACTGGCAAATCTTCGCACACACAGTTGCGTATGCAAAAGACGAAAATCAAAGGTGAGGCACGGCATGTAGAAAATTCAATGTCTGCTCATAAGCATATGCACACGATGAAGAAGATTTTCGACACAGTCCCACTATGCCATAGTCAGAAAATCTCCACCCGATTCTGCTTTCACATATGCGCCTAGAACTGACCAGGATGAGGTTGACAAAGACGATAGCGAGACACGGTATGGTGGGTGCAGAGAGCAGTTGGGCAAGCTCGATAGACTACATTGTCCCTTTCAAAACTCAGCTTAGATGACAAAAGAAAAAGAACCCTAAGCAGATCTAATTATAATGGACACACGTACCGGATCATGGTTGCATGAGAACTCTCCTTAACAGAAGTGCAAGAGATAAGAGGCAGCAACTTTCATTTAAGCATGTAACCCGCAGCAGGTTCTATCCACGAGCATCACCATTAAACTTGATTCTTCATCCACTCATGCCTCACTCAGTCATCAAGATAACATTGCATTCTATCAGAAAGCAAAACAAACATGCAAGTGTGCGCGCACACATTCACACTCAACAGTGATCCATGCACAACGGTACATGCTCATGCGCTCATGAGCACAAGGTATGTGATCATCAAGGTTGTATGCAGATGCAAGTTTGAAAAAGATAAACTCTTTCCTCTCTCTTTTCAACTAAGCAATCACAGACCAGTTCTAATTGTATCTCATCCAACTCACAAGCTCTCCTCTGAATTAACTAGAATAGCGGCTCCTTGAGCGAGTAAGGACTTAGGGCGACCCCGTTTGGGGCGATCCAAGCTGGGGGTGGCCACAGGATCCTCAAGCGAGCAGGCGAATCTGATGCCCTCTTGATGCTGCGATCCTCCATATCGAAAACTTTGACTTTTCCCCCTGGAGTCTCGTCAAACACCGTGAAATATATGCAGTTCCCCTTGCATCCTCCGAATCCTTTCACCGACACGGAGAAGCAACTGTGATTGCCCAGAAAGAGAGCAACATCACCGAGACTCCTTATCTCATCCCATTTCCCCCAGTCTTGATTCAGCCGATAAACCTTAAAATCAGCGGCCTTTCTCACAGCGCCTGCCCGAATCCCACTAAATTGACTCTCATCGAGATATCTATCCACGACATAGAGGTCTCCGCCCGACTCCACCAGATAATTCCGGTCCCCGCCATTGCCGTCACTGCAAACAGGAAGCGAGTACTGCACGATCTCAAAAGAAGGGTCAATCCACCACACGATGCCGAACCTATCGACGGCATAAAACTGCCCTTTGTAAGCAATGACATCGTCGTACTGGCAACTCGAATCACCCATCGCATGCCAATGCTCATCCCCATGTTTCCAACACGCCAACTTCCCTTTCCCAAAAATCCCGACGACCAAAGCCTCCTCAAGAACAGCCCGTGGAGAATCCGGAAGCATGATCACCTTCCTTGCTCTCCCATAATAACTTCCTCTATTCTCGCCGATCAGACAACGTTCTACAAAAATCTCGGTGACCCTATAATCCAAAGTACACAAAACCTTAGGAAAGGTCCCACCTTTGAACAATATGGGTCGGCTCGACAGCGGATTGAAGAGCCGAACCCTGCCGCCTCGACCACTTAGGTGGTCGTCCTCATCATCTTCTGCGATCTTGATCAGCCAACCCTCACGAGACGGAGGGCACCGCGATTCGTCCTCCGGAGACGTTGGCGGTGGTGGCTCGAGGAGGTAGACCCTGCGCTGACAGATGGGGTCCCCACCAATTCTGAGCTCCAACTCTGAGACGGGAGGAATCGAGGAACGCCACGACGAACAGACGCTGCGGCATCGGACGACGTCCATGTCGGTGTCGAGCTTTTTCCTGATCATCGACCAGATCATCGACAACAGCTCCGGCGGGAGTTCCGACCACGGGACCGATCTCTCCATCGCTAGACGGTCTGGTGATCGTAGAGAGACGCGAGGGCAAATGAGTTCGAGATTTTGATCGAAGATTTTAAATTTGTACGCTGATTACAAATTTACACCAAACGCCGAAAACCCTAAATTGATACATTTGTGATAAATTTATCTTTCATTAAATTAAATTAATATCACGAAAAATTATAAATTAAGTTAACATGTGAATAGCGGAGGGACAAAATCCAAAACCGGTACATTCGTTAATTGCTAATTATCATATAACTCAGAAATTTGACAGTAAAATTTAACGGAAACTAACGAAGGATAAATTTATCGTAAATGTACTAATTTAAGATTTTTGATGATTAAAAAATTAATTTAAAATTAATTTAAGATTTTTCGAGGTATTCACCATTCCAATTAATGGCATTTTCCGCAACTTTTCAGACAAAGTAGATGGACAGCTATGTATTTTTTTTCTCAGCATTTCGTTATTAATGTGATTTAACCTCGTAACTATTTTTTATCATTCGCAATTCAAGCACTGTCAGCCACCTATTTGACTTTTTCTTCTGTTGTGCTTCATGACGGCATGATCCGTCAATTACAAAAGGCTGAAAGCGTCCAAGATTACTGTCTTTTATCTTTGCTGCGAAGCATTTGGAGTTGATGCTTCTCATATGGGGGGAAAATGGTTCTCGCCAAAGCACATTCGTCGCAGGTTTTGAGCAGAAAGCAAGAATTGTCGGAGCTTGCCCGGGCATCCGGATTTGATATTTTCCAAATTATTCATTTCTCACAAAACAAACGAAACCCAAGTTAACAAGGACCCAAGCACAATGATTTCTCATCGCCTAAGTATTTCGAAAGCATTTGTCAATAAAATCATTTTAACTTTTTAACTCTAATAACATAACAATTACACTCATTACCAAAATTTTTTAAGAAAAAGAACATATGAAATGCTTGGTAATGATTTTTTTTTTTGTTTTTTGTGTTTCCAAGATAAGGTAGCATGTAGAGTTATAGTGGCATTACTACGTGGAAAAGCATTTTTGTGTTATGCTCACTTTTGGGTCGGCAAGCACTATGTTCTTATTCTTAGATTAATATCTTTTGCCCAAATCTTTTTTCTTAAAAAATGCGGTTACATTTTTCAAATGGAAATGTTTGGTTTTACACGTGTCGAGGCATCCCTATTTTTCTTTTGTTTTCTTTCGGCTTTCTCTTGGTTTTCCCGTTTGACCCGATCATGTAATGTGAGAGACACAATATGAGAAAACAACGACTCTGAGGCGGCCGAATGAAGAAGTTTGGGTTGATATGATGATATCAGCATGACACCTCGTCTCATTCATCATGCTAGGGTTTCCCCAGGTAATGTTCTTGCCCTCATTTCTCGGAAACAATGGTTCATCATGATGTGATCTTCGTGCAATGTCGATTAGTTCGCATATATGTCGTGCACGAAACGCATATTTCCCAAGAGATATGCCAATTTCGTTGTCGAAAATCCAGGTTGCGTGAAGCATATAATTTGAAGGTTAGTAATGCAACAGTAAACGAAGGGCTTAAGAAAGGAATTGAGAAAAGCTATGCTAGACCCGTTTCGCAATAAGAACGAGTAGAGGCAATACCTTTTCTTGATGGGTTATTCATTTCTTTTCTTAGAGAGAGAGAGTGTGTGCGTGTCTGCGCGTGCATGTGTGCATGTGTGTGTAGTCATAAGACCAGTACTAGGTGGCCGATAGTGGACATTGCCGGCCACCTCAGCCGGCATAATCTCGAGCAAGGTTGAAGCAGGCCAAAGTCAAAGATGTTGGCGTGGGGTGCAAAAGTCTTTGTGTTATATTCTTCACATAGATTGTCCGAGTTGTGTCCCTCTTTAGAAATTCTATCACTGCACAGTACTAACATGATGCCTTCAGTCCCCAAAAAGCAAATACTTTGCTAGGACTTGGCTAACACAATTAGTTCAAGAGATCGAGTCCAGACAAGAAATTACCTAAAAGTTGATCAATAATCGCACGAATCAAGTCAAGGGATGGGGTTACCTAAAAATTGATTGATAATGATAAGAAATGACAAAGAGAGGTTAGGTTGGATTACTAGTACAAAAGCATTCCATTCGTTTTTCAATTATCGAGCTAGATTGATAATGTAGTCAAAAGTATGCGTCATCAAGCAACATTAACTATATATGATGGGCAAAGAAAGACAGAACTACATTTACTTGCCAAACAAGTCAAGGGAGAGAGAGAGGGGGCACCATAATACATCGACATATAATACGATTTTTCCACAAACAATACGGTGTGGCTCTAGTCTAGCTGTTGTTGTTAGAGATAGAGATCGATGACGGCACTACGACAACTTATGTAAATAAATTGAAGCTATTTAATAGCGGTAAATATAAAATGTCCATAAAGTTGAGAAGAAAATAGTAACAGTTCGCCTAAAGTGGTTAGGCTGGCATACTTGTCCAAACAAATATTTTTTGACAATATATAAATAAATAAGGTAAAAATTAAGAAAAAAAAAGAAAGAAAAGAAAGTATGATTGAAGTAACGCTCGCGCTTTCTTCTGTCAAAAAAATTAATGAATATATGTTTTTAATGTGGAGATCAGATTTTTTTTTTTTGTCGTTAATGGCAATGTGTTAAGACAAAAATACATTAAAGCACTGACTATGAAGACAAGGTGTCTCCTCATAAGTTAGTCTTGATGGCTAAACGTGATCAGCAAGTCTTAATTACTTTCAAATATAAGTGAGCCGAGGCTCCGTTTATTTCATGGAAAATGAATAATTTGAAAAATATTTTCTTTGCAATAATTGCTTGAAATGATTAGTCAATGGAAAATATTTTTCGTGGATGATGAAAATATTTTTCGTTCATTTATTTTTATGAGACACAAGAAATCGTTTTAGGAAAATATTTTCTAAATTATTCATTTTTCGCGAAACAAACGGGGCTTTAATTTTTTTCCACAAGAAAATAATAACAACATGCACCCTCTTTGCATGGATAATGCCCATGATAGTTATAATAAGAACTTTTTCTACATGGTGTTCGATTTCTTCACCTCATTCTCGAAATTGAATTTTTTTCTACAATTTGTAAGCTCTGTGTCGCTAGTCCAATGCTAGTGTAGGGTTTGATTCCCTAATTCCTTCATCACCTGATTTTTTTCTCGTAATTTTTTGAGGAAAATAAAATGAGATTATATGTAAGCAAACTGAAGAGGGAAATTTTCCTATATGATAGATAACATGAGAAGTAAAAAAGTATAATAAATCACAAAAAAATTATTGTACTTAAGTTGGGGAAAAAAGAGAAGAAGAACGTGTCAGGCAGTCAAAAATTAAGAGAAGTTATTATTTTCTCTAGTTAAATTAACTATGCAATACCTATCCATCGCATATTGGTCTCCACACAATTAACATGTTATAAGGAGTGAAAATTGTATAAACTTTAGTAATCTGGCCAAACTTAATGAACTATACCTTATTGAAATTAGGTATTTCAGTACAACTTGAGCATTTATGCGATCCGTGATTGATTAGGTAGAATGTCACGCGGCATGAAATTTCCCCCTCCAACTGGAAGATTGGAAGGTTAGCTATACTAACTTGTCGTGCTAATGGAGTGTGAGGTCCGAAATACATCAGCATACCAGGACTTCATTTGTTTCACCGAAAATGAATGATTTGCAAAATATTTTTCTAAAAGTGATCGCTTGGATTGCTTGAAATAATTAGTCAATGAAATACATTTCAATTATCAATAATAATTTATGTCTAGATATTTTCTTGGATAATGAAAAAAATTTTGTTCGTTCAATTTTTTTAACGATATAAGTGTACATTTTTTGGAAAATGTTTTCCAAATTATTCATTTCTGCGAAACAAACGGAGCCCAAGTTAAGAAGCACCGAAGCACAATACTTTCCAATCGCCTAAGTATTTCAAAAGCACTTGTTGATAAAATCATTTTAATTTCTTAACTCTAATATAGTAACAACTTCACTAATCACCAAACTTAAAAAAAAACATATAAAATACGTAGCAATGATTTTTTTTTTGTTTCCAAGAGAAGGTGACGTGTAAAGTTACAGTGGCATTATTGCGTGGAAAAGCATTTTTGTGTTATGCTTACTTTTGGGTCAGAAAGCACTATGTAGTATGTACTTAGTATTCTTAGATTAATTTCTTTTGTCCAAATCTTTTTTCTTAAAAATATGGTTACATTTTTGAAATGGAAATGTTTGGTGTGACACTTCTCGATTTTCCTTTTCTTTTTTTGGCTTTTTCTAGGTTTTTCCATTTGACTCGATCATATAATGTGAGAGATATATAATACCATAAATCAACGACTTTGAAGCAGCCAATAGAAGACTTTGGGTTGATATGATGATATCAGCACGATAGCCCATCTCATTCGTCATGCTGGGGTTTCTCCAGCAAATGTTCTTGCCGTCATTTCTTGGAAACGTTGATTAATTATGATATGATACTCGTGCAATGTCGTTTTGTGCGGATATAGGTCGCGCGTGTACGAAACGCATATTTCCCAAGAGATATGCCAATCTCGTTGTCGAAAATCCACGTTGCATGACGCATATAATTTGAATATTAGTAATGCAACATTAAACGAAGGGCTTAAGAAAGGAATTGGGAAATGCTGTGCTAGCTAGACCCGTTTCGCAATAAGAATGAGTACAAACAATACCTTCTCTTGATGGGTTATTCATTTCTTTTCTTAGAGAGAGTGTGTGTGTCTGCGCCCGCGTATCCGTACATGTGTGTATTCATAAGATAAGTACTAGGTGGCCGATAGCATATATTGTTGCCCACCTCGGCCAGCGTCATCTTGAGCCAGGTCGAAGCAGGCGAAAGTCAAAGAAGTTGGCATGGGGTACAAAGGCCTTGTGTTATATTCTTCACATAAATAAAGTTTGGATGTGAGTGCATCTATCTGAGTTATGTCTCTCTCTAGAAATTCTATCACTGCACAGTATTAAGATGATGCCTTCAATCCCGAAAAGGCGAATACTCTGCACGGATGTGGCTTGCATGATCAAATCAA